CCTGGATTGCCTCATCAGCAATCAAGGGAAAAATGATTGTCTCTTTGTAATATGGACCTTGGGCTAAAGATGGGCTTGTCTGCTGTTTGCTCCCATTACCAACATCAGCTCCAAAGCAGAAAAATAAAATTGAAGGGAAGAGAATTGGTTTTCAGCTCATTACAGGGAAAGGAAAACTACATCAGTACGTATGATTCATATGTAAGGAGAAACACACACAAACACACAGTGGGAGAGACAGAAGCTAACGTTTGTAAGGAGCTTAATGTACATCTGCCCTGCAGAAGCCCTAGGCGATAGATGTTGCTATTTCTGTATTTTAATGGAAAGAATTGGTTTTAAAAATCCAAGTTTATAAACACCTCCAACTCAAAAGTCCAGGCTTCTCCTCCCGTGTTTTATTAACTTTGCAAACAGTATTATTTAAAGTTCTCTTCAACACTCTGAAATGATTGTATGTGGTATCATTTGCCTATTTAATGTTTCAGAATAAAAATGAAGTCATAAATCTCAACAGGGAGCTTGCGAGCCCTCTACAGCCTCTGCCCAACATCTCTCTTCTCCGTGCCTCTCATCCCCACGTTTAAGCCTCAATAAAAGTTGTTTTGAAACCCTGAAGTTTATAATGAGAGTAAATAGAAAAGCAACTGCCCCCACCCCCATTTAGAAAGCTTCTATCTCTCTGGCGATGACACCTGCGGTTGCAGGCAGCCCGGAGCCCGCCCCACCTGACTTGGGAGCAACCCCTCGCCCTGTCTCCTGGTTCATGGTTTTAGATGAGGCTGTCATTCAAGATGCTGCCCCTTCCCCTGACCAACGGGAGAGAAACTTGGCCAGTTCTTTCCCACCCCAGGATTCAGATTGTGTGCAGCGATATTCTAAGAGAGAAAGGTGCTTCCCAAAGGCCATGCCCAAGGATCCTGCCCATTGCTGCTCCAGCTCTGTCTGACTTCTTACGCCACACAACTTATTTAGTCGTCTTTTCTTTCAATTCTGTGTACTATTCCACATCCTTCGAAACCATTTTTCATTTTAATTTCCCTTTATGAGCTAGTGTGTGTGTGTGTGTGTGTGTGTGTGTGTGTGTGTGTATATATATATATTTTTTTTAACCAGAGACCACAGTGCCTGAACTATAGACCCTCCCTCCAGGCCTTGACTGACTAGATGGGCCACAGTCACACAGTCTCTTGTCATTGCTCTTGGTAACTTGGTAACATGGTGTCTCCTGGATACTTTGATTTCTTCCAGCCGTGTTTACAAGATGAGCACATCTATGGTCAATGTGCCATTATCAGCTAATTTCATCTAAGATGATAGTGACTGATAACATCTAGAACTGTATCATGGAAGGAAAGAAACTTATTGTCAGTGGGAAACACAGAAAAAAAA